TCGATCAGCGACGTGCGATTTATTGCCACACGACACGAACAAGTTACTACGTCGGGTTCATGCATAGCATAACCAACTCAACAACAAACTGATTGATCGGCACCCCAGCGGTGACAAAGCTCTACCAGCTGCCATGTCCTCGGCTCAGGCTGGCGGGTGGCGGCACTGAACGAATGCAGAATGCAGGATCTCTGTTTGGTGAGATATTTGGCATCGATTTCTCACCTTATAAAGTTAAAAAGGCTGTGTCTACTCTACTCTTAGGTCAGTACCTTTCCTGCTAGCAATAGGCCGCAGATGTAACCTCATTGCTTTGCTTTCGTTGTTGCCGTTATCTAACGACACTGTGACCCCCCGATCCATTTGGTTGGACCGTATGAAAAAATAATATGCTTACGTCATCTATAAGAAATTCTTTATTTCCAGGACGATAATTCTAAATATAAATTTATTTGCCAAGCAAAAGCTGGGTATTACACATTTTAACAATGATTTTTAAATGTGTTTAGACTCATCAATTTGCAGACATGGTTTGATCCCCTCGGCCCGCCGGCAGTGGTTTAGGTTCCCATGCCCTCGACCGACCTCTACGGCTGTAAGGCGGGGGAACTTTTTTTTTAGAGAAAAGGCACAAAGGCCCGACTTCAAATTAATGAAGCCATCAACCGGCTAGGATACAATGGTGCTGAATTACAAAGGCAAAGACTTGACCAAAAACTGAAAAATACATGCCAAATTCACTACAGAGAATAAGGCAGCAAGAAAACTGCGATCAAGCCGCCGGAGAGCTTGCACAGCTAGAACGGAAGGGCCGAAGCCACCCGGCGACAGCAAAAGCCGTGAACATGAAGATCCAGACCGCGTGAAGGAAACCATCGACTCCACCGCCCGCCGCCTCGCGCCACTGCCGGAGGAGAGACCACTATCTCCCCTTCGTCCAGACCGTGTCGAGCACGCGGACACCCACTGTCGGCCGGCGACCAACCAGCAAGCAAAGCGAGGAGCCGCTGAAGGATGCGGAAGAACCGACACGCCACCACCAACGCCGGCAACCAAGGGAACCGAGCTCCACCGCCGCCACCTACCACCACGCACCAGGTCCACAACCCCCAACCACCCCTTGAACGGCGCCTCCAGGAAGGGCCGAGACGCCAGAGCGCCTCCACCGTCCGGCCAAAAGGCCAAGGCTTTCGCCTGGGGAAGGGAGGAGGAGGAGGGGGGCGGATCTGGAAGCTCGACCCGCCCTCAAGAGGGAGAGCGGCACCGGAGTGCCGCCGGCGTCGAGGTCGACGCGAAATCGACCAGGGGTTTCCCCCGTTCCAAGAGTCCACCGGCCCAACCTCGAAGCCCAGATCTGACAAACCAGCCACCAGATCGGCGAGAGGAGACCACCGCAGGGGAAGGGGCTGGGAGGAAGAGAGCCGCCCACCGCTGCAGCAAGACCTCGCCGTCCTCACGCCACCCACGCGGCCGGGAGGAATGGCCAGCACCTGCGCGCGCCATCCACCGGAAAAATCGACGCCGCCATCTCCACCCAGGGCCGCCGCCCTGGCTTCCAAAGCTCCTCACGCCGGCGCGAGGCAGCAGATCCTCGCCGCCACCTTCACCGGAAGACGCGCGGCAGCCGGCAGGCTCCTCGGGTGGCAGCGGGGAGGGGGCGGGAGGGAGGAGAGGAGGCGGCGGCTAGGGTTTGGGGCCGCTCCCGAGTCGCCCGAGAGGGGCGACGCGAGAGCCGGGGGGAAAAAGTTTTCATAAGTTTGACTCTTCGCTATGAAGGCGGGGGAACTGTACATTTGTATGTATGGTCGTGTCCCGTAGGGTTCTCAAGTCGTTTTCTTGTCGGTCAAGCTGGGGTAACGGCTGATGAGTCCAACTTCTGCGTTGCTTTATACTTTTTATATCACGCCATAGTGTTAGGATTCTCTGGATTTACCGCGCTTGCACACCCATTTTATTTTGTTTTCATCAGGATACCTTACGCAGAGGTATTTAAAAGCACAAGGAAAAGAATCTCAATAATATGGTGCAAAAATCATGCTAATTGGGGCAATAATAAGAAATAAACAAATGGAAGAAGAAAGAGGCGCATCAAAGAAGACCAGAGTGATCGACGATGCACGGGTACGACCACATGCGCTCGTACCGCCGGTCGTTCCACTCGCCGCCACCATCATCTGGTCCAGTACTTTACCCCCTTATGATCGGATCGGGGATCATACACATACAACCACCAAAATCCACTTCAGAATGACGAACCCTAGCCTCCTGAAGGGTTCAGGAGGGGGAATTTGATATAAGGGCTGCACCACGGCATCATCCCATCGAGGAGGCATCATCACCAATCATTTACATCATCACCACTCCATCTCCGTCTCTTTGTGATACAATAGCCCTCATGGACCCATTTTTGTATTAGCTAGGTACTTCATCCATGTTTATTTCAATTCATGTTTCGTGCATAACCAAACCCAACAAACTGATACTAATTGATAGACACCCCTGCGGTGATAAAGCTCTAGCAGCTGCCGTGCCCCCGGCTCCGGCTGGCGGCACAGAATGCATAATGCAGGGTCTCGGTTTGATGAGATATTTGGCATTGATTTCTCACCTTAAAGTTAAAAGGTTGTGTCTACACTTAGGTCCGTGTCTTTCCTGCTGGCAATAGGCAGCAAAGTTGTTATTTTGCTTTCGTTGTTGAGCAGGTTCTTTAATTTGGATTTTATTATGGATGTGGCTAGGTCTCAGTCGATCAAGTCTCAGTCAAGTGTTATAACATGTAAGAAAGAGAGAGAAAATAGAAAGAAACATTGCACGTATCTCTATGTAAGATCTCGTGAATATAACATTGAATGAGACATAACCAAGTCTCCATTGATTGAGACCTAGTAAGAGTGTTTTATTATTTTTGATGTCTGCTGTACTATCATGATTATGATGGCTCTGGTAACCCAATGCAGGTACAAGAAGGAGACCGTGATGACGGCTCCAGTGACCGAACCGAGTCCGGCCAGGTATATATATTAGTTAAGCCCGTGCTGACTAGCTAATTGATGCATTCATTGTTTTCATATGTACACATATTAATTAACTCTCGTCTTTCTTCTTTTCTCTAGCCCTCCGGATCGAGCACAACTTCGGTAAAGAAACGAGGCCCGAAGAAAAAGTTGCGCTCGGATGAAAGGTTTGAGATCACAGCAATCGCGCGCGATGGCAAGCCGATTGAACCCATCCGGACAAGGGATGCATTTTGTGCTCAGTGCGGGGTTTTTGTTAGGGACAAGATCCCGATCAGTATCCACCAATGGTTAAAGTCTAAGAAAGAAGACCCTGAGGTGTCTTATGTCTCCTTCATTTGCTTACTAGCTAGCGTTTCTAGTCCTCTCTATGCGTATAGTACGTAGCGTCGACAAAGCACGGAGATAAGAGAGGACACTTCTCTCTATTAATTAGCTAGCTAACATAATATATGAAACACCTAAAATTAACCCCCCAAAACCCCCTAACCCCCCCTCCCCCTAAAAAAAACAAAAACCCCAGCCCCTGAAATGCTGACGCGTGGATGCCTATTGGTCCCGGTTGGTGTCACCAACCGGGACCAAAGGGCCTCCTGCCTAGGCTCGCCGCACCGGCCACGTGGAGGCACATATGTCCCGGTTCGTGTAAGAACCGAGACTAAAGGCCAAGGGCATTAGTAATGACCTTTTAGTCCCGGTTCCAAAACCGAGACAGAAGGCCCTTACGAACCGGGACAAAAGGCCCTTTTCCTACTAGTGATAGTAGTTCAAACTAAAGGAAAACAATTACTCCCTCTGTAAAGAAATATAAGATCGTTTAGATCAGGGAGTATTTTTTTACTCTCAGAGCCCATCCCTTTGCCTTCACTCTCCAGTTTTCTCAGCCGGGTTGTGGTTTGTTTTGTTTCAAAGAAGCTCCGCCTAATTGAGTTTACTATTCTTTATTTCTTGCGATGGTGGATCCCATGACAGTGTTTCCTCTTTGAGCGGCCTTTGCGGCCACGATCCTCCTTGAACTTGTCCGCCGGGACGGAGCTTCATGTATATTCCTACTGTCTCCTTGGGGTAACGAGGTTAGAGTTTTCTGTCGCGCGTGCGCGACAACAAGAGGAGCTTCAAATCGATTCGATTCGAGGATGACGACTGTGGATTCAGAACATTGGTCCTTAGTACGCGCATCAAGACTTCCTGATTGTCGCCGCAAGGTCATGCCTTCTCGAGTAGGGGAGCGGTGTCGGCTTGTTCTAGCTGCAGTGGTGGTCGTACGGCGGTCCAAAGGCCTCGTCACGATTTCCATTATGTTTGGTGCTCTTTGTATTTTTTTTACGAATTTTTTTATTACACTATGCTTTTTAAAGAAAAATAACCTGAATTTTGTGAATACATGTGCTCGGGACGTCGGTTCAAACACGGGCCTGCCATACACATGGGCACGGGGCCCACCAGACAGCCGACCCGGTCAGACCGCGACCGGCCTCCTCTCTGATCTGATCTCAAACCCGAACCACGGCGATCTTGACTCCAGATAAGCCTCAGGGGCAGCCGCGTCTTTTCACAAAAACCACCGGTGTGTTCGTACAAACAATCGTACTTCCTCCCTATATAAACACTCTCTCTCGCTAACGAAATCCCCTTCCCCTCCCGTGATTTAAATTATTATTAAGGACCCCTAATTTATTTGTCCCCTTCCTCGTCTACCCGCTAGCTTCCACGGCTCGATTTCCTCCTTTGTTTCCACCACTACGTACGGCAATAAAATTCCGGCACGAGCTCCGTCGGATTCGCCTCCCGGTCGCCGCGCGGCGCTCACCCGGACCCACTAGTTCGTCCAGTCCGGCGATCGCTCGGTGCGGAGTTTCTGGGTGGATCGCCGGCGGATTCGATTCGATTCGGGCCTCCGGTAAGGCGATTCCCCGGCTCCTGTGCCAAGATTGGCGGGATTTTCGCTAGAGTTTGTTCTGATTCTCTGTCTGGGGCTTTCAGGGCATGGAGCGCCGCGCGTTGCTCAAGACGACTCTACTGGCGTGCTTGCTCGTGGTCTGCTCCGGGAGAGGTAAGAATGATTAGCTACTCCTCTTATCTCTTGGCTTAGCCCTCCTCTTATCTCTTGGCTGTAATTTGTTATTTTGGAGTAGGGCCCTGCTCCTAGTTGGAGCAGTTCGCCGGGCTTAATTTGTTTGATTTGCCTCCAAATGGGTGTATACATGTAAAAATCGGCAACGCCAGATCAAGTTGATTTTGGATGCACTTTTGTTTTCATAATTAGAGTTATGAAGCTCAAACTGACCATATCTGCACTAGTCACCAGCACATTCAGATATAAAACGCTGACTGCAAATGTGTGTAGTCGGTATAGTCTTGTAGCATGGTCAGATTCAGACTCAACTCTTTTCTTTTCTTTTTGTTCCTACAAGACAGTTCAGCTTAACTTTTAGAGCGAATGGTAAATTTCTGATTCCATCAAACAGAACAAAGGCTTTTACAACTATAGCATGTATACTACATTTCATTCTGAGTTACTACCTCTGTTCCTATATGTAAGACGTTGAACTGCCAAAACGTCTTACATTTAGGAACAGAGGGTGTATATAACATATCCTGGATCAGCTTTCATTTTGGAACTGTACTGTTGCAAACTACTTCTCCATGTATCCAGCATTATCCATGTTGCTCTTGGTGCTGATGTTTTAAGTTTGTGGTACAGTACCTATGGTTATACAACAGCCATCCACTACCATATACAACTCAACCCTTGCCAAGACACTAGTGGAATATGCTGCTGCCGTAAGTTCATTCGCCTTTTCTTATCCTAATTATTATGAATATTAGTTCAACATTCAGTATTACATTAGTTTGTCAAATTCTTCTGCTATCTTGGGAAGTCCCTACAAAAGTATGCTTTGTTAGTTAAGTTTCTACCCTACAAAAGTATACTTTGGAGTTAAGCCTGATGATGTCTTGCAGATCTATACTGCTGATTTGACACAGTTGTTTACCTGGACATGTGATAGATGCGGTGACCTGATTGAGGTAACGCTTATTACCACTCAAGTGCTTTCTGTTTGCTGTGACATAAAAATGTCTGTCCAACTTCATACAACACTGGTATGGTATGGATGATGATGTAAACTTGTTGGATGACCCAGGGGTTTGAGATGATGGACATCATCGTAGATGTGGAGAACTGCTTAGAGGTTCGTCCCTACTTGCCTTCTGTCTGTTTATCTCTATCTTTACCACCTGTTAAGCTGATCTTTTTTTTTATGATGACTAAGCAGGCATATGTTGGTTTTGCTAGTGATATTAATGCTGTCATCGTTGTGTTTAGAGGAACTCAAGAAAACAGGTAATTGACGTACAACTTGTTTTGTTTGGTTATAAAAAATGTAATTTATTTTTTATTCAGAATGTTTTATCACTGATAAGAGGCAGATTTTAGGTATTGCAATTTCATTCTTGTGTACTTAGAATTTATGAATCCTTGACCTGTTCCTTTAGTTTGCATATTTTTTTCTCCATTTGCATGTAATAGTCATTTCCAAGGGTGTCAATATACTTTATAATCCCTCAACCGTATTCATGTTCCAAATTATCAGCATCCAGAACTGGATAGAGGACCTGTTATGGAAACAACTTGATCTTGATTACCCTGGCATGCCTGAAGCAATGGTGAGCATAGCTAAAGCATATAGTTAATGCAATTCTGTAAAAAAAAACAAAAACCATAGTAGTGCTTGATTCGTGTAGGTACACCGAGGATTTTACTCTGCTTATCATAACACAACCATACGCGATGGAATCGTCAGCGGTATTCGAAAGACTCGGAAATTGCATGGAGATGTTCCGATCATGGTCACAGGGCATTCAATGGGGGCAGCTATGGCTTCATTTTGTGCACTTGATCTTGTTGTGAGTACTGAACCTGCCTTGATCTTAAACACATTAACGTTGAGCTCCCCCTGTTACATTATGTTGCATAGAAAATAGATTTCCCTAACTCAATCTGCTAATTTTCCTCATTATGAGTTATAATAGTTGTTTTCAGTCTATACATATCTGAGCAGTTAGTTATTTGCCGCTTCTTTCTTTCCTGATGGTTTAACCTGCACAGCTAACGGGAACTGTGTGTTCCTTTTTAGGTGAACTACGGGTTGGATGATGTGAAGCTGATGACATTTGGGCAACCTCGCGTCGGCAATGCTGCTTTTGCTTCTTACTTCAAGAGATACTTGCCTCACGCGATCCGAGTTACTAATGCAAACGATATCGTCCCTCATCTGCCACCATACTTCTCGTTCTTCCCTCAGAAGACCTACCATCACTTTCCAAGAGAGGTATGCCCCACTCCGTGGCACGCTCGTTTCTACTTGTGCTGACACCTATTACACCTGTTTATACTCGCTAAATGCATATATTGCCTTGAAAAATTCATTTAGTCCTGTGTAGTTTGTGCTCTGTGCCATATTGTTTCTACTTGGGAACCAAAGAAACCTTTCAATGTATACCCACCCCATCAGCCCCACTGCATAATGCGTCTGTGTTCCTGTCCTTCCTTCAGGTATGGGTCCATGATGTCGGGCTCGGGAGCCTGGTATACACGGTTGAGCAGATCTGCGACGACTCCGGCGAAGACCCGGCATGCAGCAGGTCCCTCCCTCTCTCCCCCGCGGCCATCTCCCGTCAACTGTGCCACTGCCGCGCCGCATGCCACCCGCTCTTGGTTAACATTGTTCGCTGCCTTCTCAGGTCTGTGAGCGGTAACAGCATTCAAGATCACATAACCTACCTGGGCGTGAGCATGCACGCGGAGGCCTGGAGCAGCTGCAGGATCGTCATGGACTACGCCGAGCTGCGGTACAAGATGGACCTCCATGGAAACGTCGTCTTGTCGAAGCAGCAGCAGCAGCAGCAGCCCGGTCTGTCGGACCAGCGAAGAAGACACAGCGCCCAGTGAAACCAATGTAAAAAAGTTCTGTATTATCATAGTAGCAGACGCACGCAACCTATCATTCCCCTCTCTGCTTCATTGTTTCTGCATCCAGAGAGGGGATAACACCACCACGCTCCACAGGAAGATGCTTGCTGTAAATGTTTGCTTGGTAATGTGAAGCATTTTCCAGTACAAAATACCTCTGTTCCCTTTGCTCACCTGTTACCACTGACTGAAGTTTTCTTCCATGATATTCATGGTCGTCGCTCCCGCAATCAATGCGGTCAGTTTGAAAATGTTTTGAGATGATTTGCAAGATGGGAGCATGACTGACAAAAATTAGCAGTATATACATCATGAACAGCATGGTTTCCAGGAACAAAAGGAGAACAATAACATATGGGCACTGAAATTCTGAATAACCTGATACTTTTGCTGCATGCTAAACCATGTTCGCACTAAGATACAAGCAGAAGAAGTACATCGAAGCTAATACAAATAAATGACCGATCCCGCGACTCGACACAAAAACAATAGCAGCTGTACGAAACATGGGTAATCTCTATCCTATCCCCAACCAAACCTGAAATCTCATCCATCAGAAGAAACTGCCCAGCACGGATGCATGATCAGTTCCAGAACACAGGTGCAGCAGAGCGTACTCGTCGACATCGTGTAACTGCAGAAAAAGGAAGGACCCGACAGACGCAGCTCTGCGGCTTCGACGGTCTTCCCGTTCCCTTTCCTACATTTCTAGCTGCATCTTGTAGGCTCCTGAGCTCTAAAGGACATGAGTACATGACACAATCACATTCGCAAGGAATGGACGCCGCCCGGAGAAGGCATGTCAACTGCAACGACTTACAGATAAAGCAACCGTGAGGCAGTGCTGACGGCAAGAAAAGCCTTTATTCACAGACAACGGGACAGTGCTGGAACAATGACCGTGTTCCTAAACCTGGCCCGTCTGGTGCTGATGAGCAAACTCGTCGACCCCCTGCTAGAGCGACGTCGTGAAAGAGAACTGTCTAGTTTACTCATTTGTACTATCAAAGCTGCCGTTCGGTCGCTTCCGCTCTCTGGAGTTCTCCCCCCACATTTTAGCATCCGCGATGGCGCGCTGCCTGTCAGCAGTCCTTGGGGTTTCTCTCTTCCTTCCTGTCTGAGCTGGACTGCCTGCCTGTGATCCTGCCATGTCCATTTCATCCAATCCTGACCTCCGGCCAGAATCACCACCAGTAGAACTAGTCCGGCTGACCTCCCCTCCGTGCTTTGATGTCCTGGGAGAATGATGATTTGGCGAGCGGCCGTTGCGCTGTTCGCTGTTCCGCCCACCAACATTTCTGGCCCTTGGGGTCGACGAATTGCTCCGAGTATGTTGAGTTGGGGCATTTGGATCATATGTCTGAGAAGCTAGATATGAGAGAGCAGTGACAACATCTCCTATGTGAGGACGGGTTGTGGCTTGCTCTTGCAAACACATGGCAGCAACAGCTAAAGCCTGATACAGACCCCTCATGGGGAACCGGCCTTGAAGCATTGGGTCAGCCATCTTAGGAAACTTCCTGCGATCCTTGAAGAGTGGACGAGCCTGCAGATCAGACGAGATGTGTTAATTATCCAAAGTCAAAATGAGCAGAAGTTGTCTTTTGCTAATAAACTGAAGTAGCAACTGGGTTACAGACGGTAATTTTAGCACAGTAACAGAAAAGAACATTTTCAGTCAATGGCTTAGCTAGCAGGATGGTGTTTCACTAAGAATGCTGAAGTGAAACCAGGAGCTACTTGCAAACCCTGGCAGAAAATTATCAGGTATAGCATGCCGACTGAAATAACTATAGTATAGAAGAGCATACCCATGCCACCAGGTTTTGCTCTCCTTGGGGTTTGGTGTTGTCGATTGCTTTGCGCCCTGTAATCAGCTCAAGGAAAACAACGCCAAAGCTATAGACATCCGATTTCACTGTGAGCTGCCCAGTCATAGCATATTCTGGGGCACAGTAGCCATAAGTTCCCATCACACGTGTTGAGACATGAGTGTTGTCACCAACTGGACCGAGTTTTGCAAGGCCAAAGTCAGACAGCTTCGGGTGAAACCCTTCACCAAGAAGAATGTTTGACGATTTGAAATCCCGGTAAATAACAGGAGGGCTGGCCTTGTCATGAAGATGCTCTAAGCCCTTGGCTGCACCTGCAGCTATCTTCATCCGTGTGTTCCAGTCAAGAGGTTCCTTCTCAGGTGGCACATCTACATATATTAGAAAATAATACTTTAGCCTTCAACTAAAGATGCCATTGATTTTTAAAGGATTCATGAAGCAGTCATGCTGAGTACATATGTAATAATAAAAATACTACTTAGTATATACTGCTATAAGCACACATGGAATTTTTAAAGATGACATCGCAAAGAGAAGATAAACGAACCATGCAAGTGATCTTCTAATGAGCCCAGTGGCATAAACTCATAAACAAGGAGGCGTTGGTCACCATCAGCACAATAACCAATTAGATTGACAAGGTTAGTGTGATGCAAGAGACTGAGCATGAGGACCTCAACAAGGAATTCTCTATTTCCTTGGAGACCGTTACGATCAAGTTGCTTCACAGCAACAGCCTGAGAAGTACAATCAGTTTGTTAGTGTCCAGGACTAACCCAATTAAAATAAACATAGAAACTCTACCAACAATTCGCATAAGAGGTGAATATTTCAGCTGAATCGCTCAAAATCTATAAGTTAGAGTGTACTCCCTCCGTTTGGAATTACTTGTCTCGAAAATGGATGTATCTAGAACTAAAATACGTCTAGATACATCCATTTCTGCGACAAGTAATTCCGAACGGAGGGAGTATTTAGGAAGATCTCAGTGTATAGTGACGGTATACTGACCTGCCCACTCTCCAGGCGACCTTTATATACACGTCCGAAACCTCCCTCACCCAACATGCAATCTTGTCTGAAGTTCTTGGTGGCAGCAGCAAGCTCACGAAAAGTGAAAATCTGTGCGGCAATGTTTTGGCTGCTCCCATCCCGAGGGATGGTTAGATGGTTATTCTTAGGGTCTGATCCACCCTGCAGCCTCAATTTATCTGAGCAGAAAATAATTCAGAGTTAGCAGTCAGTTTTAGTACAAATCAGTTAAATTAAATGATTTAACAGAAAAAAAAAGTGGTTCACTCTTAGAGCACTAGCATTCTGCCAGCAGAGAGTAGAAACATTAAAAGAAGTTGAGTGGTATTAGATGAAGGCAACTTTGCTACTACTCTAGAAGGACTTCAGCTTGAAGGAAATACCTATTTTTAACCATTTGTCTTAACCACACAACAACAACAAAATCATATTCCTCCCCTGGGAGCTAGTGAACAGCCACATTTAAGTAGAAGGTTTGGAATTAATGCCCAGCTTGTTTGAAACAGCCGTTAGCTAGAGAAATAATCGGCAATCAGTTTCTGAAGTAACACCAGAAGCATTGCCACAATGATGTAAATACTGAAAGCATTTCCTACAATTCCCCTCCATCACACAGTTTTATGAGAAGAAAGGATCCTCTGCCAGTCTTTTGTACACCATAATAGGCAGGGTCCTCTTAGTATCAATCTTTTCTACACTACAATTGTCTTGCGCTTTATGCTGCCAAACCGGCAAACCCCCCAAGGAGAGGAATGTCAGATAAACTGTGAATCGCCACGACGAGTTAGCGGCCTAGCTGGACGAATACACTGGCTCAAACATAACCACTATATGTAAAAAGGAGTATTGAAATGGCAGCCACGTCATGTGTCTGTATCCTCTCCTCTCCTATCTTATCGACTGAATGTATACTCTCTCGTGCTATGCGTCTGGGGTTCAAGGCATGGTAACAAAATAACCATGGCTTAGTACCCATGCATAGACAGCCTACTGCCTGTTCTCCTTGTTTTAGTATTGCCAGAAAAAGGTTTACTCAGCTTCCAATCCAGCGCTCTCTCTTAACTAAACCAGAGCTAAAAACAATCCTAGCGGCAGCATATGCATTCCCATCTCTTGCTCACTAAGTGCAGCAAAAGGAGCACACACGGTCAGTCCTATTGGCAAGATCGCAGCTCAGCTCATTCCTCTGCTTCCACCCACCACAACCATGGCTGGCACGCAGTAAGCAAGCAAGCAACAGTAGAAGCGCAGGCAGTACAATAAACAACAACAACAACACGACGCCGCCGCCGGCCGCGGTGACCGAGCAAGGAGCAACGCGAAGCTAAAGCTAAAGGTAGAGGTGGGGAGGGATTTGCAGTTGCAAGATCCAGCGGGCGCACCTGATCCGGCGCGATCCGGCGCGGCGCCGTCCTTGGCGCGGGGGTCCTTGGCGTCGGGCCCCGGCTTGCCGGCCTCCGCCTCGAGGGCCGGGCCGAAGCAGGAGAAGCAGCTCATCCAGGCGCGCTCCCCGCTCCCTCTCGCCGGAACCAGGAAAGCGCGTGGCCCGTACAGGAGAGGCCGCCGCGCCGGGGCTCGACGACGCGGGATCCCCTCCCGTCGAGGATCTCCGCTTGCGAGGAGGGACGGCACCCAAGCAAGACTGGATTTTTAGGCGGGGGAGAGGGCGGGAGGGGAGGGGAGGGTCGAATTGGGGTGGGGGCCGTGGGATGGAAGCTACAGGAAGGGGGAGAAGAACATGAGGCTGGGAGGGAGCAATAGGAGAGGAAAGAGGAGTGTGGAGGAGGAGCAAAAGTCAGCTCTGGCTGTCCAAGCGAGGGCCGGCCGAGTGGAGAGGAGGGGATCTTTGGGGGCACAATCGTTTGCCTCTCCCTGCGTGCCACCTCGGCAGGTGAGGCATTGGAATTTCTCGCGTCATCCACAATTCAAATTCACACTGCCACTGCCAGGCAGGCGGTACAGTATAAGTCATTTCAGACAACTGAAAATAGGCTGCTTTGCATGTTGTCTGAAATGTCTTTAAGGACTTATAAAAGTGAACAGAGGGAGTACGAGTTTTCTCTTTCACACCGTCGGACGTACTATTACATGGAGCGACAGATTGTATGTACC